TTTCTAAGCACTCATAAAATTCATCTTTGGTCACATCGCCCTTCTCTTCCGCCGGGGTGTGGGCGCAAATCAGCGATATGTTGAAGAACCTCGCTTTGATGCGGATTGTGGCTAGACGTTCATTCACCGCGGTGAATGATAGTACTCGGCGACGGAGTCTCTCTCCCACCACGAATCCCACACCAAACTTGCGCTCCTTTTTATGGCCACTGTAGTAAATGCCACAAGGACCTACTCGTCTCTGTCCTTGTCCCATCCATCGGTTTTCTTGGACGGCGGTGGTCAGCCTTTATTTTTACGAGGACATCAACCAGCTGGGCAGCGGCACCTTCCCAATTAAGGGACCGGACATTCCAAGTGCATGCCCTCAATTCGTAGTCCTTAAGTTGTTCTCGCATCCGAGGCTGTTGTTGCGTTTTCATTGGGTTGGTTTTTTTTTACATGGCGGGTCCCAAACCCAGCGCACAACCCTATGCAGGGAATGTTTCGCCTTCTCATTTTAGCTCGCCTTCAAACGGATGTTCTTAGACTACCGAGAGGATACTTAGTCAAGGACCTAAAGTCGTGAGCTGCTTGAGTCATATGTAAAAGAATCGTTTCTGGCCACTCCCAAGTGAATGGCGATCAGAGAAGTTTATTCACTTGCGTGAACTTCTACACATGACTCCATCCTCCAAGTTTTAGAGCTATATAATCTGAGGCAAAGTTGATCATAATGATCCGTAGAACATTTCCCGCACCTCGATATTATAGGAAAAAATCGAATCGCTCTAATATATATTCAGACTGTAATATACTTATATTAACTTTATAAACTTCTGAAATAAATATTTATATAAAGTAAAATATTCAGTTTTAAATTTTTTCGATTTTTGGAAATAAAAAAAAAAAGAATAAAAGAGACAAACCCACTATTTTTAGTTAATGTACATGTCGAATGCGGAAATGACACATGAGACTTGGTCATTCCCACTAATTCCAACTGGACAACTACAGAGAAAAAATTTGATGTTATTAGTGGGTTCAGCATTTGTCGGATCTTAACACTTTATAGACTCGTCATGTTAAGGTTTCAAATGCCGATTATGTTTTCCAAACAGTTTTTAAATTTCGAACCTTATTATCGTTACGTCATTACAAATTTAAATATTTTCATTGTCTCTATACAGTACTTTAATTAACATTCTTGAAAAATTTCAATGATGCGACACTGATGTTATATACACAGATTTTAGTAAAGCTTTTGATAAAGTATCAAATTCAATTCTTTTGAAAACATAGATCTTCTTGGTTTTCAACCAATATTTTTAAAATGGGTTGCTTCTTTTCTTAGTAATAGAATTCAACACGTCATATTTAACGATACTTTTTCCGACATAATCAATGTTCCTTCAGGCGTTCCTCAAGGTAGCCATCTTGGYCCAATTCTGTTCTTGTTATTTATTAATGACATATCATCTGTTGTTAAGTTTTCAAAAATTTTATTATATGCTGACGCAACGCTTAAAGCTTCCTTGCCTTTTATGACTCGGTTATTTCCGCTCGTTCGCGGATTGCGCCCCTCGCGTCGGTTGGGCGGGATGAGGGTAATCGTTAGGTATTATTATTATTATTAGTATGAAATATGCACGTTCCCAAATTTTATATTTCGGGATTAATGAACAAGAACATATATTTATCTAATACAATCGCATCTCAAACAAATGTGTATAGATCACTTTTGTATGCGTTTGAACCAATCGTCGAAGCACTTTTGAAATTGAAGTATCGCCAAAGCATGCGTTCTAAACGCTTCTTCAGGTGTCGCAAAGGTTGATTTCTTAGTTTATTTATTCGTACGGGAATAAATCGTCCGGTTCCAAGTCAGGACCATACCAAAGGATGACTCATCTCGGTGATTTGGGTGCTCAAAAATAAAGTTGTTTCAGTTAATATAATATGTGAGAATGGTGAAGAGTGATCTATTTTCGACGGTTAGTTTTCCTGATATCTTTAAAGACAACTGGCAAGCAAATATCCCGAGATATGCGATTTCACCACAAAGTGAGTGGTGGCACTCCCATCGTACAAGTTTCACACCGGTTCCCATACAGTTCTCACATACTATCACGAGTGTAAAATTTAATGTCCCGGACGTATTCAGTTAATATATTATTGCGCTTTTAATAGCACCCTTATATGGGGAGTGACCATTTCATCCGTTTTCACACTGTCGGTAGGAATTGTTATAATATTTATGCAAGTTTAGTTGTTGTAGCTTTAGTGGTTTAAGAGATATGTACAGTTGCGAGCATTGAAATAGTAGTGCCTATTGGCCAAGAGAGTTTTGCTTTAAATTTTGTTTCTTTTATGATATTGCCGTCGATCATTATTTTAGTTATATTCTCTGAAGTATAACGGGCCTGTTATATACAACAATAAGTGTGAATTACTTATCGTTACTTTTTTAAAGCCAATTTTATTGCGATATCTGTTTTTATGAGCGAGCAATAGAATAGTAGTGAACAATGAGATGATTGCAAAGAGATAATTTTTAATAAAAAAAATTTAATTTTATCAAACAAAAAGTTAGTTTCCAGATCTTTTATTAATTACTCAATGCAAAAAACAAAAAAAATATGACTTTGCACTTTTTTTTGGGCGGCGGAAAGCACTGCAGTGACGAAAAACGAGAATGTATTCAATCTGTCATAAACAAGGGTAAATCCTACAAGGGAGTGGAAAGAATTGTAGGGTGTTAAGCCACAACGACTCATAATGAAATTATTTATAAAAAAAAGACGAAAAAAGGGGCGCAATATGGACTCCTTCCGAGAAATTTACACAAATAGTTGTAAGATGTGCCAAGACTCGACCTAGAATGTCAGCTATGAAGATTCGGAATGAACTGAACCTGGCCTACGGTGTTCATACAGTGAGAAGACTTTTACATGAACATAATTTATATGTCCACAGTCCTCGATAAGTACCGTTATTAAAAAAAATCATATAGCAAGTTGTCTTAAATTTGCCAAAGGACCGATTGAGAATGAACAGACGAGCCGAAAGTTATTCTATACGGCGGTAAAGGTATCTAAGAGGCTCCCCTAATAGAGAGTACGACCCCAGATTCAGCACAAAAACTATGAAGCTTGGCGATTTGAATTTCATGGTTTGGTGTGTTTTTCTTACAGGCCCAATTTTTTTGTGCAATCTCAATTCACAAGATTACAAGCATAACGGACCGACACGAATTCGTGGATATAATGTAGTATATTATGATACCATTTGCTGAAGAGGACATCCCGCTGAAAAGGATATTTTAGCAGAATAATGACCCGAAGCATACAAGTAGGGTGGCAAAGGAGTGGTTTCGGGTCAATGGAATTGAGGTCATGGATTGGCCAGCTCAATCCCCTGACCTCAATCCCATTGAAAACCTTTGATTTTAAAAATTTATTACTTTACTACTATTTTACTGCTCCCATCAAATTTCATATATAAACACAACTTTGTGAATAAACATATCTTACACCCATTCAAATTAAAATATTTTTATTAATAAACGTAGCCAGGGAAATATGATAAACTTTTCCGTTTCAATTGATGTTAAAATTGTTTAGAATTTTGCATAACTCACAGGTACGTAAAACTCTTAACACCCACTACTATTTCACTGCTCGCAACTGTACATTAAATTTATTAGAAGGCGGGGACACGCCCACTTTTTAATTTTTTTCCCACAGGTGCCTCCTGCTACTGCGATACACTGTGCCAAATTAGTGCTTTATATCTAATATGAGCACTTAATAGGTTTTCGGATAATGCCGTTTTGTGGGCGATGCAGAAATCCGATTACGCTCATCTACGAACTCGTTTTATTTTGTACTAAGGAACCCACATACCAAGTTTCTTAGAGATATCTCAACTTTTACTCAAGTTACAGCTTGCACGGACGGACAGACAGAAAATCAACTGGATTTCAACTCGTCTATTCGTCTATTCGTCCTTACCATTTATATATTCAGTCGAAAAATTATTTTTTCATTCTGTCAATAGATGTCGTTGCAGTCGTATAACTTCAGTGCTACCAATCACATTGTGTCATACCATGTAGTGTTGGAAAGGTGAGATTTTAAGCTTCATTTAACCAAAAAAACTAAATTTGGGAAAGTTGAAAAAAAGTTAAAGCAGAAATGAGTGAAAATAATGAAAAATTCGCTGTATTTTGAAAAAATTTTACAAAAAAGGGAAGAATGCCACGCAAGCCACCAATGAAATTTGTGAAGTTTACGGAGACGATGCTGCATCAGCATTAATAGTTAGGTGAACAAAATGGTTTTACTCTGTAGCAAGAGTGAAAAATTAATTGCACGATGGATTTTAGGTGAATCTCCAAAAATTAGTGATGATCAACACAAGCAACGATTATTTTAAAAATTATTAATTTTTTTATCAAATTTCTGTCAAGTTGAAATTAAATATAATGATGCTATGTTTTACTTTTATAAAAGAACATAATTTAACGAAAAAAAATTATTTGTATACTGCTTTTGCCAACTACACCTAACCCTTAAAATGCCTTTTTTAATTTAAGAAACAACTTTTACACTTAAAATTAAGAAAACAATTAGGTTTACTATAAACCAAGTGAAACCTAAAATATTTAAAGATAAAATTATTTTACGACATTTTGTTTTGTAGAGATAGATAATTATTTCATGTGCAGTGAAAAGATGATGCTAACACAATATGATTTACGAAGATTTCAAAACAGATTTAAAAAAATTAAATTATTTAAAATATGGATTTAAATTATGGAAGTGAAGAGTGAATAATTCATCAATTCTATAAAATATTAAACATTATTATTAAAGATAGTGTAATCAAAAATAAAATCGAGTAATATTGAAATAAAAGTTTTCATACTCGTATTTAGAAGATATTACAGTTAAACTTCGAAAAATCTTATTTTTAGTATTAATTTGGATAAAAACAATTATGTCACAATTTTTACTTGCCTGTCATAAATACGACATGTCGTATTGTTAATTCGTTTGTCCGAAGAACGACGACGTCTATCTTCGAATAAATCCTTAACTGCTGTAACACCAAGCACAAACAGAACTGGAATCATAGCAACTTCTTTACCGAAAGCGTTTATAGCCGGAAACCAATTCAGTAATACGATAAAAATAAAATATAAATTCGCGACTCGATGGAATTGCTCCAGTAGATTTTTTGGTACGAACGAAAGCAAAGTGTATTTTGTAGTGCGGATCTTATTACCTACAAAATCGCCATTCGGGTGATCGCGTTTTGGAGTTTTTGGTGGAACTGTATGATTAGGTATAACTATTCGATAACTTCGTTCATCGAACTTTTCACTTTGGCAAACTAATGTACGCTTCCACCAAGATGGTGTTTCGGAGCGCCGCAGTGTGTATATTGATTCTGAGCGGGATGCTTGCCGAGAATGACCACGACCACCTGATGACGATGTAACAGATGCTCCGAATTCACGAGTTTCAGTTTCTTCCTTGTGACCAGGTGGAAGGATAAAATCTGTTTTCGAACTAACACGACTATGACCGCGTGTGGGGCCAGTCGTACCTGGTGAATCTGTAATTTGACCTTGCGAAAAAGCGCGTTGATGTCCTTTCATAGCTGATTTTATTGGGCGACCACTCGGACCCAAAATGGTACCACCGCCATGGCTTACAGATCGTATATGACCGCGACTAGTTGTACCAACGCTGAGATTATGGGAAGATGCAGATACCACAGCCACGCCAGGTATACCTGTCGCCATACTACCGATAACGCCTCCGCCAAGCCCCCCGCCAATATTTACAGCTCCGGGAAAGACGTAGGTACGTTCGGGTTCTTGCAAAGGAATTGCTTGTGCTCCATCTAGAGGACCATACGCCGTTATTCTTTGCGGCGTTAATGCAAAATTTGGCACCGGCAATGTTGGCGGGGCTGAGCGCTGTTGCTGTACAACAGTAAACTTTCTCCGGAACTCTTCGATATTCCCTGAAAGCATTATTATAAGTCACCATGTGAATGTGTGAAACTGTAATCGTAAGTTACAGGTACTAGTTCGTAACAGCAATCCAACTAAAAATTTACTATTTTATATTGTCCTCTTAAAGTCATTGCATATATAGAAAACTTAAAAGTCTTCTATGATAGAATCCTGTAATAGAAAAATAAAATTATTTAATGTTTTTAAGTAACTTAGCTTTGAATCTAAGCACATATTTTCTAATAAAATAATATAACATAAATACTATATTTTATTACTCTATTCAATTAAAAAATGTCAGTGTTCTCCTTCCATTTAGACTTTATCTTGAACTGTCATCTGAACAATGTACAAGGTAGGGCTAGCAATTTACAAGCTTGTGGTTAGGAAAACAAATTCCTCATGGTCTAGCAAAAATTTCGAGTTGAGTTTACATACCTAAAATAACTGCTAATTGCTGGGAATGATCGGTAGTGAAAGTGTGTATGAACAATAAAACAGTAAAGGGTTCAAAGTTAGGAAATACTTTTTTTTAATATTTGTAAGGTCGTTTTCCTGCCTGGGTAAAAATCCGGGTTCGTTACGGTTACGAAGACTGTCGCGGAAATACTTTTGAAAATGGTATAACTGCGAAATTAAGAGCGGTTTATTATAATTTCGTCGCTTTCCCGCGGTGTTTTGAAAAGAAATATACATTGCTTAATGATTTAACACTAGAACTAGAGATGTTAAATATATACCTAGTTTTACCGCACCCGTCAAATCGATTTTTGATTATGGCTTTCATAGTAACTTTTGTGTWAGTTTAAGTAAATAAAAGAATATAATTTAGCAATAGCAACATTTAATATAATAATTCATTAATTATTTATAAACAAAAACAGTTTCTATTTGAATGAGGCACATATTTTACATGTACACGTTATGTTAGTTGAACACCTGAAACAAACATATGTTGCATGCAGTTCTGTATTTATTGCACAATCGAATTTGGCAAGATTTGCGTTCATAAGGACTTTTTTTTGAGTTTTCTGGAGTAAAATCCATTGGCTGTTTTTGCGATGCAATGAACGTATATGTATATACATATACATATGTATTGATGTCCATCTTTTCATAGATGATATATTATTATAACCGTCATTTTGACGGGTCTCGATATAAATAGGTCAGTATGACACTGATTAGTAATAATTGACTGTTCTTATATTTTATTAAAAGTCGTAATAAAACTCTGGAACAGTTATATAAATAATAATCAAATTTTTAAGCGTTGAAAACCGTCAAAATGACGGTCTTGGTAGTTCTAGTATTAATGAACCAAAATAGGAAAGGCTTTACGAATTAAAATGTGTTCAAAAAATTACCTTTACATTTGCCGCGTTTATTAGGAAAAGCTTGTAACTGTAGAAAATCTAATGTTTTATTGTAGCTAATGTTTATAATTCACTTGCTCCAATCTCACAAATTGTTTGTTATACTCTGACATCTTTCATAGTAACTTACAACTAAATTTTACGAATTACTTAAAACTTTTGTAAACGTTAAATATTTTCTTGACATTTGCCTTTCATTAAAGCCAAAACTGGTTGTTATGGCTCGTAACAATATGACTTTCTTGATTAGATTGAGTAAAGAATCTGCACCAAGTTTCGGATCATTGCTTTTCATGATGATGTTTTTCGATGTGTGTTTTGAAAAATATAACAAATTTTCGCGAATTGAACAATTAAAGACAAAAAAATTTATTTTTTGAAAGCACTGCACTTTGAAAGTTTGATTTATGACTGCAGCTTTACGTGTGAATAGTTGCAAAAATTATAAATCAGTTGAGCACCGCTCACTTGTTTCAAAGACAATTACAAAATATCTAAAGTGCGCATGTTTTGCTACATATATGACGTGGGGCTATAAAATTGTGAAAGTTGTTGTAACACCTCTCAGCCAAATACTGATTCCGGATTACAATTCGTCTTAGAGATTCGTATTAAGGTTATTCATCATAGCGTCTTTTTGGTGTCCTCGCCTGGGAACTATTTCCAGAAAGCTGAGATCTTGATTTTTGCCATTTAAAAACGGAAAAAATGAACAGCCTTTGCCCTAAATTTTTTTCTGGCTATTAATCCTCTGTACCAATCCTTTATTAAAATTATAAAACCTACTGAGTCGGAAAAGTGTGTGGATACTTTAAT